TATATATATATATATATATATATTACTTTTATATTGAAGTTTTGGTCTTTTAGTTTCGCAGTTCAGTTGTCGTTTCTTCCTCAAGTGTTTCTTGTTGTCTCTTGTTATCTGCTGTATATACAGTTTCACTTGTCTTCGTTAAGTCTAGATTGACATAAACTTAGCGTAGAAACAATTTTCACTCAGAAATTGCTAATACATTTCACAAACAATTATGAAATGGCAAGTACAGTACACACTGAATTAAACATATTAAACATGGAAAAACTTAAATTTCTTGTAAAACTTATTCCAAAATGTACAGTGCACCAGATTACTAAAATTAATTAATAAAAAATTCTATTTTTTTTTTCCTGCATGAGAAATCCTTATAATGAGAATTTGAGGTTAAATGTGCTGTATTGTCATGAAAATGCAAAACATCTTTAAAAAATAAAGCCTATTTTAGGACCATTATATAAAGTTTAGTTTTGCATTTCTGTAGCTCTGCGCTCGCAACATCAAGGTTTAACACTTTGGTTCTTCTTTTTGTTCTGTTTTTATTAAATGTAGTTTATTCAGCTCTTGGATCCAATCTCTCGTTTCTCTCACTGCCTCAGTGAACGTGTTTCAGCATTATTTCACGCTCAGAGTCTTTTGTTCTGAATGTGAGGACGGCTGCAGTTGAGCAGGACTGGACTAGTCTATGAGAGAAGGCTGCTTTATTTTTATTTGTTCACTTATATTTATATACTCTTGACAGTCAATCGTCCCAGTGCTGCTGGACTCTCTATCAGCACTCCTCACCAACATGAACAGAGGCAGAAAAATAAAATGAGCACAGCAGAAATCACAGCTCAGTCTAATGACACGCTGCTGCGGCTCCAGATCCTCCTCGGATGTTCAGCATAATGTCTGCTCATTAGGAGAGGCGGAAGATCAGAGCCGGACACTTTAACACTGTTATTGGACATCTGTCTGTTTGAGACAGCGATCAGTCAGACGAGAGACATCTGTTTCACAGCGCCACGTGTTTAATGTTGGACTGAAAGTGTCTGTTATCAGCGCAGATTCATCTGTCACTGCTCCGAGATTCTGCATTCTGACTGCATTCCCATCAAAGACGTCTTCACTCACTGCTCACATGATCATCATGTGTCAATCAGCATTATTATAATGAACTAAAACCATAAAAACATGTGTTCCTTACATGTGAAACAAAGTAAAAGGTTTTTTTGCAAAGGCAACAATTCTCATTTTCATTTAGGTTAACTTGATGTACAATATCTAAAACTGAAATAAAAATGAATAAAACCATATAGATATTTTAAAAAGAAATGCTACCAAAATTTTGAAATTAAAACTTTCATTTTTATTTATAAAAATAAATGCATAATAGTATCTCAATGATACTAAAATAGAATTGGTTTTTTTTTTTACTTCTTAATGTTTGTAGTTTTTCTAAAGTCCCAGAAGTGAATGTGTGATGACTGCCACCCTGTGACTGATCTGAGAACAGCAGGAAAACACCTCACATGATGAAGTGTTATGATGGTGTTTATGGTGTTATGAGTTTGTGATGCTGCACAATTACCTTCTCAGCATCATTATATGCACATCTACTGCTTCCTGTTTGAGTAGACTCACTGAGGGACGAGCTGGAATCACTGTCTGTCATAATTAACGCCACACAAGAAGAGAAACAAGACATTCCTTAAAGAAAAAACAAATGGATTTATTACAAACTAAAACAGACGGAGACATTTAAAAGTGCAGCACGGACAGACGAGACAAACGTTCACATACAAACATATTTACAACAGCTGAATACAGCACCAAAATAAAACAGAATTCAAGTAATCAGTCCAGTCACAGCAAGGAACTATGGGTCCTTTCATCACTAAAGTAAGGCAGGTGTGGCCTGATGGTCACATGCTCTGATGGGCGAATCACATGCTCTGATGGGCGGGTCTCATGCTCTGATGGGCGATTCACATGCTCTGATGGGTGGGTCACATGCTCTGATGGGCGGGTCTCATGCTCTGATGGGCGATTCACATGCTCTGATGGGTCTCATGCTCTGATGGGTGGGTCATATGCTCTGATGGGCGGGTCTCATGCTCTGATGGGCGATTCACATGCTCTGATGGGCGGGTCTCATGCTCTGGTGGGTCTCATACTCTGATGGGCGATTCACTGATGGGCGGGTCTCATGAGCTGATGGGCGTCATATGCTCTGATGGGTCTCATGCTCTGATGGGTGAATCACATGCTCTGATGGGTCTCATGCGCTGATGGGTGGGTCACATGCTCTGATAGGTGGGTCACATGCTCTGATGGGCGATTCACATGCTCTGATGGGCGGGTCTCATGCTCTGATGGGCGGGTCTCATGCTCTGATGGGCGGGTCTCATGCTCTGATGGGCGGGTCTCATGATGGGCGATTCACATGCTCTGATGGGTCTCATGCTCTGATGGGCGGGTCTCATACTCTGATGGGCGATTCACATGCACTGATGGGTCTCATGCTCTGATGGGCAAATCACATGCTCTGATGGCCGATTCACATGCTCTGATGGCCGATTCACATGCTCTGATGGGTCTCATGCTCTTGATAGGTGGGTCACATGCTCTGATGGGCGGGTCTCATGCGCTGATGGGCGGGTCTCATGCGCTGATGGGCGGGTCTCATGCTCTGATGGGCGGGTCTCATGCTCTGATGGGCGGGTCTCATGCTCTGGTGGGCGGGTCTCATGCTCTGATGGGAGGGTCTCATGCTCTGATGGGAGGGTCTCATGCTCTCATGGGTGAATCACATGCTCTGATGGGCGTGTCATATGCTCTGATGGGTCACATGCTCTGATGGGCGAATCACATGCTCTGATGGGTCTGATGGATCGACGTGTGTCACAATGAGATCTCAGTGACGTCACTCATCAGCAGCCCTCTCGTCTGAACGCAAGACTCACGGGTGGATCTGTGTTTGTGATTTTCCGCTCTGATATTCCTGCAGGATCTTCTCCAGCTCTTCTAAACACAGGCTGATCGCTCGCCTCGACACCGGAGCCATTTTGAACCTACGAGAAAAAAACAACAATCAGAAGGAGTGAAAGCAGACTGACGAGAGCTCAGGGTTGCACGATTCATTGAAATAAAACCCAAACAGTGTTTCATAGTGAAGCGCATCACTGTGATCTCAATCTGCGGCTCAATAAATTCTTCTATTTATTTGTATTAAAAGTCACATTTTAAATCGCTCTTGCAGTGTGTGTGTGTGCGTGTGACACAGAATCACGTGAGTGTGTTGGTGTGTTTGCTCACCTGCGCAGCAGTTCTCGAGCTCTGCGCACGGCGGGTCTGTGTTTCTGCAGTGCCGCGGTACAGAACGCTGCTAGCGTGTTGTAGCAGTGCTCTCGCAGTGCATTATGGGTGCTGGTCTCCCACTGCGGGAGTTCACTGGTGTAGCGACACGCCGCCTGAACGAACTCCAGCAGCTTCTCCCACTCGGCATTCTGCAGGAGCAGACGGCCTCCGTCCTGACACGAGCGCTGCACAAACACATCACACTTCATCAACAACACCGGCCACGCAGTGAAACAACTGAACTGAGTAATTTATTATGCACAATAATTTTTTTGCACATGTCATTTGTCATCATTTTGTAGTTCAGTTCAGACTTTAAAATCTGATGATAGAGCACAGCGCTAGCAAAACCAAACACATAGGTTTGATTCCCAGGGAATTTATGAACTGAAAATGAATCTCACTCGGTTAAAAGCATCAGCAAATGCATGAATGTCAATGAAATTATGTTCTACTTGACCTCCAGTACAACTGATGAGCGACATATTATACAGAAACAGATTCACTAGAAGTCCACAGTTTGAAATAATTAAATTTTTTTATGTTTTTGAAACAAGTCTCTTCTGTTCAGCAAGGCTGCATTTATTTGATCAAAAATACAGTAAAAACAGTGAAATATTATTATAATCTAAAACAGCTGTTTTCTATGTGAATCTCTGTTCAACTGTAATTTATTTCTGTGATGCGCAGCTGTATTTTCAGCATCATTACTCCAGTCTTCAGTGTCACGTGATTTTCAGAAATCATTCTAATATGCTGATTTGCTGATTATTATCAATGTTGAAAACAGTTGAGCTTCACAATATTTCTGTGGAAACCATGATATGCTACCATTGAATAGTTTGGAGAGAAAAAAAATACATACTTTAATTCATCAAGAATGCTTTAAATTGATCAAAAGTGTCAGTAAAGGCATTTATAATGTTACAAAACTCTTATTTCAAATGCTGTTCTTTTGAACTTTCTGTTCATCTGTGAATCCTGAAAAATAAAATGTATCACAGTTTCCACAAAACTATTGAGTGTTTTCGGTTTTCAACATTGTGCTTTCAACATTGATAATAATCATAAATGTTTCTAATAATCAGCATATTATTATGATTTCTGAAGATCATGTGACACTGAAGACTGGAGTAATGATGCTGAAAATACAGCTGCGCATCACAGAAATAAATTAGTTTAACAAATATTAACGTAGAAAACATTTATTTTAGATTGTAATAATATTTCATTATTTTTACTGTATTTTTGATCAGATAAATGCCTTGATGAGCAGGAGACTTCTTTCAAAAAATCTTGATGATTTCAAACTTTGCCCAGCAGTGTATGAAACAATATATTACAATTATCGTAACTGTAACAGTGATTTGCTCTCACCCTGAAGGCCATCAGGTGTGGACGGGCTTTCCTGTAGCAGTGTGCGTCTCGGTTGGAGGCCAGGCGGGAGTACGGGATGGATCTGTAGACGCTGGTCTTCTTCAGATGCAGATCCTCCAGTAAGAGCTTGAGGTCAGACGTGAAGGAGCCGGACTCCATCTGAACGGACTGAGAACACGAAACGGCACGATCACGGGACGCTAGCGTAACCACGCATGCTTGTAAAGACACGGGTTTGCTCTCACCTGCTCGGCCAGCAGAAGACTGCGGAGCAGCTGTCTGGAGACGGACATCTCACACGCGTCCAAAGCGCCTCTGCTCCGGCGTCTCCCTGAACCTGCGTCCCCTTCAGAGTCAGAAGAGCGT